TTAGATACTTGAAAATTTAATCACATATAGAAGGGCTCTCAAGCTTTCAAACTTTTTTTGAAAAATTCGAAGTCGTCAATTAGGAGAGCTCTGGCGCTTGTTTAAACATTGGTCGAATTTTTGTACTTATAAACAATTAGAACTTTGTGAATATTCAATCAAATCAAATTTTTTAAAGCAGGTTTTAAAAGTTCTTGGAAAGAAGCTTCTTTTAAAAAAAAACAGAACAATTGATCAATTAGTTACGTAGTTATAGCCGATTCAATTTCAAGCAGGCCGAAGCGGCCGCGCTCTCTGCTTCCCCCACCACCACCACTCCTACGATTTTATTGAATTTCACGATTGCATAAATAACTTGAAACACGTTTTAAAGTAGGTTGCCAATGAAGAAAAGTATTGCAAACTTAGACCTGGTAAGTACTCAGAATACCAAAAGTATTTTTCGAAAAATTAGCCGGGATGTTCCAGTACATTTAGTGTAAATGACGGCTATAACTACGTAACTAATTGATCAATAGTTCTGTTTTTTTTTAAAGAAGCGTCTTTCCAAGAACTTTTAAAGCCTGCTTTAAAAAATTTGATTTGATTGAATATTCACAAAGTTCTAATTGTTTATAAATACAAAAATTCGACCACTGTTTAAACAAGCGCCAGAGCTCTCCTAATTGACGGATTCGGATTTTTCAAAAAAAGTTTGAAAGCTTGAGAGCCCTTCTATATGTGATTAAATTTTCAAGTANTTGATAACAATGTACATGGGATTTAGGAAAAATGTATATGTTTGAAATCAATTTCGTTTTTATCAAGTCTTTCAAATGTATTCCCTCCTTGCTGTCAGTTGATTGCGACGTTGCCACATTAATCCTCATGTCAGACAGAAATGCAATTATTGGTTTCCATTTCTAATTAATACGGCTGTACTATGTTCAAAACTTACATTAGTTTTACATCAAAAATAAGATAATACTGTGTAATATCTATGGAAAAGTTTTGTTTCAACAACAATATCTCAAAATCTAGATTCAAAAATTCAAAAAAATATGAGGCACAGAGGGAGCACTGGGTAATACGCTATATAAATTTCAAGTACATCTGTGCATTTTAGTAATCCCGATATACCTCCTTAAATGCTTACATTTTTCACAATTAAAAAAATATATTTTGTAGATTGGAAGTATCATCAAAGATCACATTTTATGTAAGACGTGCTGTGATTCTCTGTTTACCCACAACAGTTTCCTACAACATTGCATGGAAATAGAAGACAAAATTTATGATAATTCAAACCCAGGAAGATCAAAAGATATATCGTCATGTTATTTATTTGTTAAAACTGAAAACTTGCACAAAGAATTTGATATTAACAAAATGGAATTGTCAATTAAGGAAGAATATGTTGATATAAAATCAGAAGATAAAGAAAAGAGGTAAAAAAAAGTCTATTTTTCCATTAGTACTATACAATTGAATCAGTGTATAGTGTTAAACGGTTAACACATACAATTAAATTCTTATTTTTTTTTTCAGCGACACGCTACTGCTGAACTCCCATATTGGACTATACGATAAGAGCGATTGTAACCATGAGAATGGACCAGCAAACAAATGTAATACGAGAGTCAAGCAGGAGTGCAAAGTATTGTACAAATGTGATAAATGTATTTACGAAACTGACAGCAAGAGCTGTTTCATGGCACACCGTGCAAGACACAAAAATGGTTCCGAAATGTATAAGTGTAATGACTATGACTACGAAACGAAATACAAGAAAAATATCAAAAGGCACCAACTGAAGCATAATGATCCTTCACGGCTTCAAATGTACAGGTGTAGTGACTGTGATTACGAAACTAAAATAGGGAGTAATTTCAAACAGCATCAGCTGCAACATAAAAACCCCTGGCAGGTTCAAATGTACAAGTGTAAGGACTGCAATTACGAAAGTAAATACAAGAGTAATATCACAAAGCACCAACTGAAGCATAATGATCTTTCACAGGAACAAATCTATAAGTGTAATGACTGTGATTACGAAACTAAATACAAGAAAGATATTGAAAAGCACCAACTGAAGCATAATGACCCTTTACATGTTCAAATATACAGGTGTGATGACTGTGATTTCAAAACCGTATACAAGAAGAATATCAAACGGCACCAAATGAAACATAAAGATCCATCACAGATCCAAATTTACAGATGTAATGACTGTGAATACGAAACTAAATACAAGGGAGATATCAAAGAGCACCAACTGAAGCATAATGATCCTTCAGAAGTTCAAGTATACAGGTGTAATGATTGCGATTTCAAAACAATATACAAGAAGAATGTCAAACGACACCAACTGAAACATAAAGATCCTTCGCAAGTTCAAATTTACGGATGTAATGACTGTGAATACGAAACTAAACACAAGGAAGATATCAAAAAGCACCAACTGAAGCATGGTGATCCTTCACAGCTTCAAACGTACAAGTGTAACGACTGCGATTTCAAAACTAAATACACGAGGAATATGAAACGGCATCAACTGAAACATAAATATACTTCCCAGGTCCAAATGTACAGGTGTAACGACTGTGATTACAAAACTAAGTACAGGAAAGTTATCAAAAAACACCAACTGAAGCATAATGATCCTTCGCAAGTTCAAATGTACAAGTGTAACGACTACGATTACCAAACTGAATACAAGGGGTTACATGAAACGGCACCAACTGAAACATAAAGATCATTCGGGCTCAAATGTACAGGTGTAAAAACTGCCATAACGAAATGAAATACAATAGCAATATCCGATGTCACATCGAGAGTCTTCTTAAATGCAAATGTACCGGTATTTACAGATGCGAATTACCATCCACTGAAGTGCAAAATGTAGTCAAAAATAGAGGCATTTACGAGTGACTTGTGTGAATATAACACCGATCGTGAATATGTGAATATGTCTTGGTTATATACAGGGTGTCTCAGTTATATCTGTCAAAAATTGGGAGGCGAATGAAACGACCAAGAATAATAGCGCTATATCTTATATTTTGAAATGTTAATCGATTATGAGATGCAAGTGTTAAAGATCCTCGAAAAATATCAGTTGCTGGTAAATACTCCCTGAAGTAATAGAGATATTTGAGTTCTGAAAACAAAGATCATTATTTCAGAGTAAATTTACTGTTACAGTTAGTTGTGGAAGTGAATTTATAAGATATATGCAATTATTCTTGATTATTCTAAATACCCTTTAATAGATTAAAATCGGATCCCTGTATTATCACCTATAGATTAAAACTGTTTTATATCGAATAAGAAGAAAACAATTAAATGGAGTATTTTCTAACATAAAGTTTGAGATATCCTCACAAAATTGTTCAAATCCTACCCCTTGTCATTCCTATGTAAGGGTGGATTTCGATAATATACTTGTAAGTCCTGTTATTCACATCTAGCTCAAAAACTCGTTATGCAATTGTCCATATGATTTTCGAGATGAGCCGTATTGTCTAATCAATCTGTACCTAATAGCGAGAAGTTTCTTATTTTATTTAAAGTGTATTTTGTTTAAAGTTAAAATACGCGTATGTATCTTACTATTTAAATTAATTTCTAAAGCGTTCTAGTTAGAAGTAGAAGAATATAAACCAGTAAACCAGTGAAGTGTTATTTGTTTTGTACTTGTGAGTATGTATATATGAAGGTTCTGGCAACTTACTAGATGTATTTTGTAGCAACTGTCCTATTTATGAATTTACAGTGTGGATTTAAATTAATAGACCAATCGAAATAACTCATTTAGAGGGGAAAAAAAAGAAAATTGTTACCTGGACATTTATAAGTGGAAATGGTGAAGAGGTTTATAATAAACGAAAAAAAAAATGCTTGAGTAGGGGTGGTGGAAGGCTGATTTGGGGGGTTGAAAAGTTATGAAAAATTGTATCATTGGGATTTCTGGCGAAAGTTGACGTCAAACAAAAAAGTATCCTATACAAAAAATGTAGATCATGAAAAAATCTACGACTTGTAGAGGTTACTTTTTAACATAATCTCAAAATTTCCTAGAAAAATAGGAGAAACAGGTTTTTTTTTTCAGAATTTTCATTTTTATTTCTCATTTCTACAAAAATAATTTAATTTTAATGAAACTTGGTGAAAGTATACCTTTCTGTATATTAAATAACCACAAATTTATTTAGATAAAAAGCATTAAGAAGTTTCTCATTTCATTTTTTCGTTTTGACAAATACTTTTTGCTGAAATAAAAAAAAAATCTGTAATCACAGTTCAAAAACATGCTTAAAAATGCAAAAAAAAAATAAAAAATGACTTGTAACAATGAAATTTTTCAGTACCTAATTGTTGATAATTTGTTTAAATTAAATAAAAAATAATCTAATCTAATACTGATTACACCATTCAATTGTACCGAAAAAGTACAAAAAAAAACATTGTTTGACCCAAAACTTCATTTTTATACAGTATTGTTATAAACAAGTCGAATAGTGAATAAATAAAATAAATAATATTTTTTTTCCATAGGATCGATTAGAGTACTTGTATTTTTATAAATTTTGATGAATTCATAGATATACAGTGTGTCCAAGATAATGATGGAATAGCATTAGGATCTAGGAAACGGTAAGAGATACGGGGTGGCTCAGATTATAAAAAAATTGTTTTTTACACCTAACAATATGCCTTTTAGAAAGTTTTAAAATTCCTGGTAGTTCCGAAGATATCCAGAAAACCCGAAATTTTGCGAAATTGTTTTTTTTGGCTTTATTTGAAAACGAATTTTAAAATAAATTGCATATTTACTGTGCCACTTTTCGTCTTTTTTCCTGAGTACGGCTCTAAACGCTTTCAAAATATCTTTTGGTGAAGTCATAACAGTATAAAAGTCAAACCGCACAAAATATCCAACAATTTCTTTTACTACTATTAGCAATACTAATTAGAAATAATAAAATGTTTCATAAATTCGTATTATTTTTGTATTAGGTACAACTTTTTACACATATTTTGTGCTGTATTGACTTTTATACTGTTATGACTTCCTCCAATAGATATTTTGAAAGCGTTCAGAGCCGTACTCTGGAAAAAAAAAATAGCTAAAAACCGATTACAATAGTAATTTTTTTCAGAATTAAAAATGACTAGATTTTGTCATAAAAATAGCAGCGACATATTTAGAAAAATTAATCTGACGGTGGCCCCTCGAAGACGAAACCTCGGATTGCAAAAATGTTGACGCCATTGGATAGAGCGAAAAAAGTGGCAATGTAAATGTGCAATTTATTTTAAAATTCGTTTTCAAATAAAGTCGGAAAAAAAATTAAACTGTTTTGCAAAACTTCTGGTTTTCGGATTTCGCGTCAAAATTAGACTTTCCAGTTCAAATCATCCAGAGATAATTTATCATTTGTGCATTTGTAATTCGATGTTTATAGCAATACTATACAAATATAAAGTTTTGGGTCAAACAATGAGACAGTCTTTTTTTATTTTTTTCTGTAAAATTGAATGGTGTAATCAGTTTTTGATGTAATTTTTTAGTTTTTTGCATTTTTGAGCATGTTTTTTGAACTGTGATTACAGATTTTTTTATTTCACCAAAAAGTATATGTCGAAAAAAAAAAAGTGATTACCGGCAGAACTCTGTACGATGATTTTTCTAAGCAAATTTTTTCTTTGAAAAAAAGTGTCAGGTCGAAAAAAATGAATATCAGAAACTTCTTGATTTTTTTTATCTAAAAAATTTGTAGTTATTTAATACATGAAAAGGTATAGTTTCGTTAAAATTAAATTATTTTTTGCGAAAATGAGAAATAAAAAACGAAAAATCGGAAAAAAACTGTTTCGGATTTTCTCGAAAATTTTGAGGTTATGTTAAAAGTGACCTTTACAAAAGTTGTAGATTTTTGCATGATCTACAACTTTTTTTGGTAACTTTTTTGTTTGATGTCAACTTTCGCCAGAAATCCCAATTTTTCATAACTTTTCAACCCCCCAAATCAACCCTCCGCCGCCCCTGCTCACGCATTTATTTTTTTTTAGGTTTATTATAATAAGCCCTTTTACCATTTCCACTTATAAAAGTCTAGGTAACAATTTTTTTTTTCTTCAAGTATAATTTAATTGGATACATAATGTCATTTTAAGCACTCTTAAAACCGGTAACTACTTTTTTTAAATTTTTTTGCTACATGGTTTGACTTGGCTAAGTTTGGTATTCATTGGCGAGCATGCATAGATTATTACCTTCCATGTTTTCAAAATATCTAGGTATCTAAGTGGATGGATTTAAAAAAAATGTCTCGGTAAATACTTGTAATTTTGAAAAATGACTCACTGGACTCAATTTAGATCACTAATTATACCGGCAGCTAAAATATATGGGCACATAGCTGCATCCCACATATAATTTATAATTTTGACATCATTCTTGTTAATTTATGAAAGGAATAGAGTTGCAACAAGTTAGTGTAAAAGAACAGTATTTTAACGCATGTTTCCTTGTCTAAGCAACACTGTTCCCCGTTGTATTTTGTTAATGTTATTTTAAGGCATAGAAATAAGTTTTAGACTATTATAGTTTGTGTATTGTAGGCTTAAATGAACTAAATAAAATTTAACTGCACTATAGGCTGGCTGTACAACACTACCAATCTTTATGTTCATTTTCTATGAGAAAATTATGTTACTGCTCTTCAGGAGGAAGTATTTGTTCTGAAATATAATATACCTCAAAGTATTTATAATTTTTCATCACTCAGAATAAGAAAAAAGTGTAACTGTTCTTGTACGTCTAGTCGACTATCTGTTTCCGGATGTATGTTTTATACAACAGCGCTAATTTTTGTTGGGAATTGTTCTAAATATTATGTAAAATGATAATTGCGATATGCGCCCGCTGAAAAAGTTGTGCATAATTGTTAGCGCAAGAAAACGTAAAAATTTTTTTAAAAAGGCGCACTTTTCTCTTTTGTTTCATGTGTAANATAGAATCGATTAGAGTACTTGTATTTTTTAAATTTTGATGAATTCATACAGTGGACAGTGTGTCCAAAAAAATGATGGAATAGCATTAGGATCTGGGAAACGGTAAGAGATACGGGGTGGCTCAGATTAGAAAAAAGTAGTTTTTTTATACCTACCAATATGCCGTTTAGAAAGTTTTAAAATTCCGGGTAGTTCCGGAAATATCCAGAAAAACCCGAAATTTTGCGAAATTTTTTTTTTGACTTTATTTGAAAACGAATTTTAAAATAAATTACATTTACATATTTACTATGCCACTTTTCGTCTTTTTTTCTGAGTACGACTCTGAACGCTTTTAAAATATCTTGGATGAACTCGTATAACATTATAAAAGTCAATACCGCACAAAATATTCAACAATTTTTTTTACTACTATTAGCAATGCTAATTAGAAATAATAAAATGTTTCATAAATTCGTATTATTTTTATATTAGGTACAACTTTTTAAATTATTGATTAAAAAAATTGTTGGATATTTTGTGCTGTATTGACTTTTATATCTACTGTTACGACATCCTCCAATAGATACAGGTATTTTGAAAGCGTTCAGAGCCGTACTCAGGAAAAATTTTAAATGATAGTTAAAAACCTTTTTAAGCGATTACAATAGTAATATATTTAATTCAGAATTAAAAATAACTAGAATTTGTCATAAAAATAGCAGCGACATATTGAGAAAAATTTATCTGACG